GGGGGGGGTCGGGGTCAAATGAAGAATATGTAACCTACTTGTACATGTGTGGAATACTTCTGAAATATACAGTGGTAGCAAACTCCACCTTCTCCTCCGAGAAGAGATAGTAAAAAAGAAAAACCAACAACAACCAAGTTCCAGAAAAGATATTGAATCGAAGACTTTCTAACGCTCTATAGCCCCATACGTTTGTTTACAGTAGTGTTACCATCTTCTGATTTAAAACAAAATTAACTAGAAACCAAGCCTTTATACGCTCAAATACGTGGCTGTCTTTGTTCAAACCTGTTGGGTCAATGAGAATCGAAATAGAATGTTGAACGTAATTAATACCCTCATCAGCCTGACAAGACCAGTAATTGAACGTTGAGTGCGCTAGATGTTATTACATAAGTGTTGAGATATTCTTCTTCTGTTTGCTAGCAAGTTATTAGGAAGAAAGCGATGATGCGCTAGAGATGAAGTCTGAGTGGGGGATGCGGTGAAAATACTTTTTTAATGATCGAAACCATAAAACATTAAAATATCTGATTCTAACGCAAGGTAATCGTTAAATACATACAAGAAAAGTTAAGCTCTCCACATTTTCGATTTCTGTAATATCAGTTAAGTGGTGTTTGAGTTCGAATTATCATTTGTTTAAATAGCGATTAACTTACATTTTAGTAGACGTTTACACAGTCATTCCGTCGACATCAGTAATTAATATTTCGAGACTCTCTCATAATAATATTATAAAGATGTTTGATCTCAGTTCTGAATTGGTCGTACAGCCCCCTCGTCAAACATAGCCGCTGTGATTACATGATTCCCTGAGTGAGAGGAAATGCCACGCGTATCTAATAATAATTTAAAATGAGTTGCACGGCTTCGTCAGAGCTCGTACTGAGACAGGTAAATGAGGTACGTGGTGAGACACTTGTTCTTAGACAGCTGGAAAGGTGGAACATTAAAACAATCATAAACGATTAACAGACATTTAACTACCTTCATCAGAGCTGTTACAGCAGAACAACTAGAATTTAATGTTGTATTTGAAAATCCAACAATATAATTCAGACGGTTCTGTCTCTTAACACACATAATATATCATCATCTTATTATTAAAACATTAATATAATTTTTAAAATAGTAAACGTTTTACGGCACTTGCAACACAATTAGGTCACATAAGTGCCAAAGATTAGAGGTGTCACAAGAGCTAGAGTGACAAGTATAAAAAAAGGAGGAGAGATAAAGACGAAAGTTGTTTGAGAAAGGGAGAAAACCACACCGGAGCACCCGCCAACCATCCACATAATTATCTTCAGTAACAATCAATCAGTTGTTGAGAAAATGATATAATGTACGAAGACATTATATAAATAGATGCTGATAATGGGAATTATTCTGTCAATACATACCCAAGATTAGTTGTCGGTCTTGGTACTCGTACATGATACTACAACGGTGTTTATAATGCGCTACATCTTCAACACGACAAGTAACATTAATTAATGTCCTACGTTTATGACGGGTGAGGCTCACTATAATGCCAAAGCATTTCCGAAAATGCCGGGCACCGTGAGTAACCCAACAGGGGCCAGATTGTTACTACGCTCTCTGCTTTGGGGGGTGGGGGGGGGGGGGGGGGGCTTTGTGTCTCGTCAGGTGTTGTATAAAATATGCCTTCACTGCAATGCTTTTCTCTGAGGGCAGACACAGCTTTCGGTTTACGCTGGAAAGGTCTAGTACATTGCTTATTATACAATAAATGTCTTAAAATGTTTTGTTATCTCTTTGAAATTAAGAACACTACTGAACAGTTACCTAATAAGCAGGAACAAATTCAAAAAGATTAAAACCATAGATTTGAGGAAAATTCAATTACTGTACCCCCCCCCCCCCCCCCTTTCATGTTTTAAAAAAGTTTACGCTTTTGAAGAAATTTTAATCGTCAAAAGCGCGTGTGTGGCTTAATTGTAGTTGTACTTTGCAGGGGTTTTCTTGGTGCAAACGTCGTCAAGGAACAATTTCGCGCCATCTAGGCTTACTTCAACCTCTGTTATACTCATTTCGCAGGTTAAAGACCTTGTTCAATATGTAGTGATGAAAAAAAAAAAGTTTAAATCGATAATTTAGCACCGATCCGACTTTTTTCAAGCGCGGATCGAAAGCGCCGTCCTCCGTACATATTATGACATCATGTTGGGCGCACACAGAGAGTGGAGACTCATCATTGTGGCATTGCGCAGTAGTTCAAATAAGTCCTTCAGATACACCTTTAGACGTTTCTGAGTACCTCACTTTACTCAAAAGAATGTTGGAAGTCTGAGCTGCCTTTTTCCTTGTTTAACCATGCAACACCCCCCACCCAAACCACCACACACACATAGATGTAGATGCAGAGTTCTCAGATCCCAAAACTGGCACACAGACTTTTCCTGGCACACAAAAAGTTCACACGTTGGAAATGAGTTGATCACTTTTTTTAATATTCAGAACAATTTCTGCAACACAAAAAAAACCCAATAGAAAACTGAAAAGACATTGCTGCTGACCAGAATAGAGATAAAAATGTAGACCAGGTGGTACATGTTCATTACTATCAGTTCAAGTCTTAAGTTTAAATATTGTTCACTGTATACCAAGACATGGATCTGCATTCGAGTGGTACATAATGCTCATAATCTTTTCCCTTGAATAATCCCTGAACATGGGTGATGTTTGTGCAGCAGTGAAAATGTAAAAATTATAAAATATAAGAATGCATTTCATATAAATTTCATGTTCATCGTGTGGTTATAGTAATATCATTGGGTTACAGTTTGAGGTAATCTATTGGCAAGACATGATTTAACAGCAGTTTCTCAGTCTCTCATGTCTACAAGTGCCCAAATATCAAAATTTTGATCAAATCTCCAGGCACTCCAATAGCTAATGTAGCAGAAGCCCCTCTTACTAAAAATCTTTGGTCCCTCAACACACAGGAATATGAGATAGAATGCACACACACATACACAAACACACAGAGATACATTACACACGATGTATACACACACTGACATGAGAGACAAGTAACTTCTGGAAAGCCCACACATTTGCAGACTTTTCCGAGTGAAGCGGATGTAGCCTACTGGTAGTGTGAATGTGAGTGTATGAGCGCAAATGTGAATATAATTACGCGTGATTTTGTGCACATAAGGAGTGAAAGGGTATGTTTATGTGTGGCATTTTTGTGTAGATGTCATTGTGCATGCATAGATGTCTGCTTGTGTACATGTAAGAAAAGCACATTGTACAGACAGGCTAAAAATGGCTGTCTGGATAATAATCTCTCTCTCTCTCTCTCTCTTTCTCTCTCTCTCTCTCATTACCTCCAACCTAATCAAAGACATTTTTTTAAAATCTTTGACTTGCAGGACCTAAGACTGAACTGAACTATTATCATTGACCTATGCTCTGCTTTCAACAGATATAGGAGGTCGTCACACTACTGGTACAAGGAATAAGACTGAAGGAAAGGCTGCATTTGGAAAGGCCTCAAGCTCATCTGATTTATCTAACTCAAAGAGACATAATTGAATGTAGAAATGTCTACTGTTTTTGTAGGTGCTACTGGTAAAGAATAAATGCAAACACAAGCAATCTCTAAAGTGTTTGAAACTGTCAACCAATGACAATACATTCATTGAGGTCACAGGAGAAAAATAAGGTCATGTGTTCTTCCAAAAATAGTACAACTTAATTCGGACCCGATCCTGTCAGTCAAACTAGCACCAGAGAACAGAACTGAAATATGTGAACTTGACCACAAGGATTGTACAGAGTAAAAAAAACAAACCCAAAGGAAGACAGGTAAATAATATCAGAGAAATCTAAAACACAAAGATGTTTGAGAATATTGCAAAAGCTGCCACAACATAAGGTTCAAACATCCACTGAGTATTCTAGAACATTAATAGTACTCCAGCAAAAAACCTGCTTTAACACTGTAAGAACAAAGTACCATTGCTTGCAAAGGAGATCATAAATCTTTAAAAATCTTGTTCAGCATGCAAAATGTCAAGAAACCATAAACCAGTATACTATACAATAAAGAGGGAATCGCGATGTAAAGTCAAATAATAGGATCTAAGCATAATTATAAGAAAGACAGTACTGACTGTACTGTATGCATATATTATATTATACATATTAATGAATATGTTTCCTCTTAAGCTACAATTACCACACTGGAAGGCAAATCATACGAAACACTATGACATAATTCATGTCCAAACTGGTGCATGCATTGTGTCTGTACCAGACATAACAACAAAGCCCTATACCCAGTACTGGTTGTATATACTCTAACCATATTCACAATATCAGATGATCTATTTCAGCATAGCTTCTCTATACTCAAACACACAAACCATGACTTTTATGAAATGGAGATCTACCAGTGTATATGATTATGATCAAACTCAAGCACACTTCACAAAGAGATCTTTTGATGAAAGTATAGTATAACTGACCATAAAAACTCTAACGAACAAATTATCAAAATCTGCTAATGTACAGTCCAGCACTCACATGACGTGATTCGCAGGCCATGGAAATTTTTTCTTTATCATGAATTTCACAATGTATATATTTCGAATTAAAAAAATATACATGTATAAGAAAAGATTCAGGACTTGAAAATCTGTTTGCTATGAGCGTGCTAGACTGTACATTGGATCAAATTCAAGCCCTCTTCACCCTTGGTAAGCTCAGTAATATCTGTCATGTCTTTTGAGATACTACAGTGCATCTATCATGTCTCTGAGCGGCTGCACCTTTCGTGTAATAATTCTTCCATCACTCTCAGGGCCTGAAAGACAAAGGTAAGTACATTTGTTAACACAGAAAATTCACAGAACAAATTCAATTTAAACAAACAAAAAAGTTTTTAAATTTCAAAATAAGAACTACATATTCTTATCATTTTCAAAGTCCTTGAACCCTCTGTTGAGAATGTGAGAAGATATTCAGCTGATAGCCTGCAGGGACAAAAGACAAGCTCTGGGCAAAAGCAAAATCTAAGACCGATTGCCGCCATCATGATCATCACAAGAACAGGACTCCAAACCTGATACAGCCAAATATTTTCCATTACAAACGAGGAAAAACAAACACAAGAAGACTATAAGAAATGAAAAAATAATGACAGGGATACACTTTGCTCTCCTACTAGAGAACAACAGCTAAAATTTGGAATTCAATAGATAAGAACCTTAGACTTCTGCATGCCTTTGTTGAACTCTTTAATGAAAGCTGGCACAGCGGTTGGCGAGACTCCCAGTAAAGAATCTCGCACGAAGCACAGGAAAAGACAAATGTAAAGCCGCACAGCATAATCTGTCTGTACAATCTCTGGACTTCAATCAGTCTTTTCATTCCTCCTAATGCCAGACACAAAAAATCTGACAAAACCATCAACAGGGCCCATACATTGAGAATTTTACACACATAAAAAAACAATCTTCACCTTCTGAGCTCCCACATGAAGGAACTTGCCAGCAAACATTTCTAGAACTTTACCCAGTGGACCCAGAAAGCGGATGTTGATATATCCATGTTGTTCAAACTGGGTCCTGCAAACAGAAAAACAGTAGGCCCATTACATTACTAAGAGCGTAGCTGGTTTGGCTGAGCTGGGAGTTCACCAGTCAATATCTGCTGACTGAAGATGTGTCAATACTTTAGGACTATTTCAGTCCACATTGTTGACATATTAACAACCTCACTACAGTCAGAACATGTCAGTGTTCTCTTTTTTCTTCAGCCTTTGGCTCCCTGTGTGGGGCATAGGGAGTCATTAAACTCCCGCCAGTCACTGGAGCCCTGGGCACATTTCTCTGGCTACCTCCAGGAATGTCAGGTCCTCTTTGCCCATGCATCAAGAACATGGCATTACCTGTTTCTTTGGATTTGCTCTTTTCTTTTTTCTGAAAGGGTTTAAAGTAGGGCCAATCCATCTCCATCTTAGGGTTTTATATTAGGCAGGCTGTTGCTAAATTTGCAGATGGGGGGGGGGGGGGGCGCAATACGGATAAATACACACACAACCCCCCCCCCCCCCCCCACCAGATTGGGAGACAGACAGAGATTCAGGGAGAGAGAAACACAAAAACACCATGAGCTGCAGACAGAGAAAACAGAGTAAAACAGACTGACAAACTTCCAGCGAAAAATTGAGAGACAGAAAAACAAAAAAAGAAAGAAACACAAAAAAGAGAGTCTGGGTGACAAAGAGAGAAATATGGAGACGAGAGAGAGTGAGCGGGTGAGAGAGAGAGAGAGAGAGAGTGAGCGAGAGAGAGAGAGAGAGAGAGAGAGAGAGAGAGAGAGAGAGAGAGAGAGAGAGAGAGAGAGAGAGAGAGAGAAAAAGAAAGAGAGACAGACAGATAGAGAGACAGACCACAATGAAAGCAAGCATTCGGAGAGCAAAAGTTCACTTCGGATCACAAGACAATTGGCAGTAGAGGTGAAACAGGCAAGGGTTAAGCTGTACCAGTGCGGATTGTCCACTGCTTTCGCAAATCTGGACTCCTCAAACATGTCAGCGTACTTGGACCATGTGACATTGCGAGATTTAATGTCCATCTGTCCACTATCCAGGTCCAGCCATGCTTGCTCCTCCAGAACCACCTGTTCTTCATTCAGGATCTTCATCTAGAGATATTATATTGATGTAGATATCACTTAAGTTGATAGCATTCAAATAAGAAATGACCTCAGTCATTCATATCAAATATGATGTTAGTTGGTGACATAGGGACATATGATATCAGACATGACCTTAGTCAGTGACATTATATTCACATCTGATACGACCTTAAACAGAGACATATTGATGTTAGATATGACATAAGTTAGTGACATCCAATGTATAGACATTAAATGAGAACTTAGAAACGTCATATCATGCATTTGATCCATTTTGTCCAAAATATTTGTGGGTTTTATTTTTGTCTCCTGCCCTGATTATGGTGTCAATATTTGTAGGTTACGTAAAAATATGTCAACATGGTACAAATTGTTGTGCTTCAAGAAAAACAAAACAAGAAAAAGGGGAATTTTTTGGTCTGTGATGATGATGACAATAATAATAATGGGCTCAAGTATATTTTTTTTCTACTTTAAAACATGATGATGATGATGATGATGATGATGATGATGATGATGATGATGATGATGATGCACCCCAGTCGGCCAACATTAGCCTGGTCACAATGGAACCACTGACATGCAGCTTCAGGGTATAGAGATTGTTAAAAAACCTACAAAAGAAAATCTCAACCTTAGAGAGTCTAAGTGGATGTGGAACCTGGGCTCACATCAGACCCTCTCTGGCCTCAATATTGATGAGCCTCATTTCAGAGAACTAAAATTTACAACGTAACCACCCAAGCCGCTGCCCAACTTTTCCCCCTTTACACCTACTCACCCCTCCCTCCCACTGAGATCAACATACTACCCCCCTCCCTCCCTTTCTCCCCAACCATGCACCTCTACTCTTTATCTGACCACGCCTGTTAAAATCATGGCACAACAGTTTCACCCTCCCCCGCCCCAACCCCTGCATCTCCTTACAGCCTATCTCCCAACCCTCGGTCCTCTTTCCCGACACAGGGAAATTACTTAAAGACCACCCCCTGTCACTCCCTCATGCAGATGAAGTGCCTGATCGCCAGGATATTTTCTTTCAACGCCTACCCTGCGCTCTTTGCCCAAAGAGATCCTTCTACCTACCCCCTTCCCCCCCCACACACATACTCACACACACACATACACACACACACACACAATATATTATTTCTATTTGTATGCATCTATGCAGACACGTGTGTATACGAGTATAAAACCATGTATGTATGTATGTATGTATGTGTGTGTGTGTGTGTGCGTGCGCGTGCCTGCGTGTGTGAGTGTGTGTGTGTGTGTGTGTGTGTGTGTGTGTGTGTGTATGTATATGTGTGTATGTATGTATGTATGTATGTATGTATGTATGTATGTATGTATGTATGTATGTATATATGCATGTGGGTATGTATGCATAATATATGTATGTATGTATATATGTGTATTACCATGTCATTTCTGCTGTTGTGACGGCTGTACTAGGTCTCCTTCACTTATGCTCCCCCACTCCATAAACCCGACCCTCCCACCACTCTCTCTCTCTCTTTCTCTCTCCCTCTCTCTCTCTCACATACACACACACACACACACACACACACACACAAACACACACACACAAACACACACACCCTTCTTCTGTCTCCTCCTTTTGCCTCCAACTGGGATGCCCCTATACATTTTCCTCTTTCATCACACGTTCACACAATTAACTTCCTGTCAGCCTCTCGTAGAGATACAATTGATATCCTTGATGACTAGCATCAATTTCTTTATAATTAGCCCCTTGGCCTGGCACCCACTTAGTCACTTCCGTCTAGCCTGTAACCACACGTAACCCTAAGACCCCCTTTGTTAGGCCCATTTCCCTGCTAGTATACAGCGGTCATTTAATTTTTCTCTCAGTTACTCCTGAGGAAGCCCACGAGGCGAAACGTTGAGCTATTAAACAAATTTAAACATTTTATATTGTTATTTTATTTTGTCTAAAATTAAAACAAGACTCTCCCTCCTACTCTGCTTACCAAACAATGATGATGATGGAAATATTACATATGTATGGCTTTACTTGGTGTCATATTTATGTCATACAAATCACGATTTCTTTCTGTGTAAGATATTTTCTATTATCATTTATTATAGTAGAGGGTTTTACGGCACTCGCAACTGCATAAGGTCATATGAGCGCCAAGGGGTGGGTGTCAACAGAGAAGTCTTTACAGGGAATCAGACCCACTCTGCCCACCTCTCTAGCTTCAACAGCACAAGGTCTGCTTCAACTATCAAGGCACCCCAAAATAGCAGGTCACAAGAGAGTGACAAACATACAAAAGAAGTAGAGGAAAATGACAATAGTAAGGATTAGGAAAGAAAAAGCAGCAGTTCCCTGTTGTAGATTAGGCACAGTTATGAGCGTGACATGAATCAGCCCATTTTCTACTGCACTTGAACGAGAAATGTCCCCCCTTTGGGAATGGCCTAAAGACACTACAGTCAGTGGCACTGCCGCGGGGGGTTAGATATTTTCTGGAGAGGCATTTTATTATACACGTATGACTTTAAGACAGTGAGGTACTGAGGTCAAACTCATATATCTAAGGAGATTTTGAGTTCAAATATTACCTTCATTGAGATTTTTAAAAAAATTTACATGTCCGTACGAGATAGTTTAAAGATTATGTGGAGTGGTGCCAGGGTAAGAAGAAACGTTTTTGGAGGATGAAAAAACTAATTCTGACCACTTCAGACTGTATCGGTACCTATTAAACAGATCAAGTTAGCATGTTTAGTTTCTGCTCCAGAGCAGCAGCACCAAACAAGGAAGAAGGTGGTATATAGTAAAATGTACAGAACCAATGTTAAAAAGTGGACATGACAATTAACTTAAAAATTTTTTTCAACAGAGCTAGAATACTGAGGACAATTAAACAGTAGGGCCAGCTTCTCTATGGTTTCTCTTTAAGTTTAAGCCTCAAAGTAATTCCACTGGTCTACCAATAAATAGTATGACTTTATACTTCTTGAAAGAGATTTGGTCTGGAAGAACCTCCTGAGCTTGAGTGAAACATACCTTGCGCAAGACGTGGGGTACGACATTTTCACAAAAGGCCAACCTCCGCCTGTAATCAATTCCTTTAATCCAGTCTGCCAGCAAAAGGAAGGATAAAAATGATCTAGATAACAACATAACAATCAATACAAGGAAATTTAAAGAAAGTCTTAACAAAACAATTGTAGGAAAAAGAATTCATTTTGAGTGCATTCTTTGTGTTGTCAGCATTTGTTAACCTTACATCAGTGCTACTTCTGGATGCACCATGAACATATAGCTAGTGTACACAGTTAGTGAGCACTAAAAGGATACCATGAACTTAAAAAAATAAAGACTTCAATAGACTCTCTTCTCCCAAGACTAAAACAGGTAATACATTATATTATATGATTACAGATGAGATGGTTCTGGAAGAGGAAGTGTGGCTTGACCTGGATATAATTTTTATAGGCTACAGTAGGCTACAGGACAAAAAACAGACTGACACATATTTATACAAACCTATTTTTCTCTCAATGGTTTCCACCCTGTGGACCAGTCCATCTTTCTCATTTGGATACTGAAAATGTCAACAAAATGGAACACATAGATCACAATGAGTTTTTCATCAATAAATACATGTATATCCAAAGTATTTCAATTTCCGAAGTCCTTGCTTTGATGAGTTTATGTTCAATTACTTCAAGCTAAAAACAATCAAACTAATTATGAGAACAAAGATTAATGGGCCTCAAGCATTGGGTGGGTGGGGATGGGGGGTGGGGGGGGGGGGGGGGCGCTATGTGTGCAAGTATCAGAAAGTGAATATTTATATATATATATATATATTATATGCAAGATGTACAAAAGTGTTGAAAATGAACATTGATTGTGTGTTTTGATATAAATTGTTTGCTGTCCCATAAGCAGGGAAAGCAATTCTCTTTAAGAGGCTGCATTTTTCATCTTTACACATATGATATATTATATTGCTTCTCATTTTGATCTATTCTCCGATAGTCTCATCCAGTTAAATGTTGGCTTTTGAGGTCCAGAGGTAAAGTGTTCACCTCTCAATCAAAAGGTCTAGTAATCAAAACCTGCCAGTGACGACTTTCTTCTCTAAAAATTTCTTCTTAGTTTCCCTGACTTGTTCTTTAGCCAAAAATAAATCTTTCATCTCTTTTTCCTGTTCCACTCTCTCAACTTCATCCCTGGGCCCCTCTCTGCTCCACTTTCCCTTAAGTAGGTTCTTATTCTGCAGCTACTCCTGGCCCCTTCTTTCTGCTGTCTTTCAGTCGTACTCCTGGTCTAAGGGTAGGAAAATGGTGCTCATTTGAGGATTGTTTCAGTTCAGCTTGGCTTCTGGCAGCTTCAGAAGTGCACACTACAAATAAATAGATTCCTGCCTCAAACCGACTTGCAGCCTTGAAAACAAAATGCATTTGTTTCAGAAGGTATGATGGCAACTTTTGTCCCTGATGACCGAATCAACCTGAAACGAACCGATTCTGCCAATGGGCACCGCCTATAAGATAGAACGCCTAGAGCCATCTCAGATGTGAGCGAAAAATGTCGGAGGTCCTGTATGCAAAAATGTAAAAATCAGTTGCACTGTGAACCCAGCAGTTGACTGCTCCCTGGGATCTAGCACGGGACCGCAAAGAATAAGAATTAGTTAAACAAAAACTCTTGAAACATGACAAAAGTAAAGCCCACATCTTTTAAATGACCAATTATTAGTGTGTGTATCTCTACTGACAGGGCATGAAACTTTTTAATTATTCATAACGTTCCTCCTCTTATACACCCCCCTCTCCACCATAAAATCAGTTTTCTTTGTTCACCTGTTTTTACAGTATTATTACCTGTTTTTACAGTATATATATTATTTTCTTTTTATTTTTGTTATTTCTTTTCTTCTTCTTTAGTCCCTTTTTTAGACTCTACTTTTTACTTTACAACTTTCATATATATATAGGCCTAGATCTAGACCTCTATATCTTCAATTTTCAAACTATCTATTTTAAATCATTCCACTTTCTCCTCTTCATAATCCCTCTCTTTATCATTTTCAAATCTGAGGAGGGTCTGCAAACTGCAAGGGTTGTCTTCTTGAAATAATATAGTTCCCCCTGCCCCTGAAACCCTTAATATATAATATATTATATTAGAAACATATAGATCTATATATAGAGATCTAAATCTAGTTCAATTTTACTATCCCAGCCCAGGCTTTTATGTCCAGGCTAGCAGAATATTCAGAAACTACATGATAGTCAAACAAGCTGTACAGGCCTATCTTCGCTACACCATACCATTGTCATGACACGTTCATATCTTGCACTACAAGATTACGAGTAGGGTAGGCCTAGATTGCATAAAAGAATTAATTGTGTCTGACGTGTTTCTGGTCTACTCTGCCTCTGCCTCTAGGCACTCCAGCTGCTGCTTACTTTATTGAGATGGGTGTTAACAACGAACTGGAGCGGATACTTGAACACATGCTTCAACTCCACTGACACCACCATGTTGACACAAATATATCTGGCTTCAAGATAAAATTTATGAAATACAGCATGCTATAAACTATAAACATCAGAGCATAGGTCATAAAGGACGCTCTACCCTACTTTCGGTTTTGGTAAACGAATGTTGCATAATGGCAATCGACAAGAGCTTAGAATAAAGAAAAGGTGAAGTAAATTACAAACGAATGTTTACTTTGACGTCGTTGCAAATTATATTCGCCATATTAAGTGTCACATGGCTGGTGCCTCTATAAATAAATCATTGATGGTCAAAGCGCACCAACTTTTAGTGGTAGCCTAGTGTCACTGTATGCACTAAAATAAAACAAATAAACAAAAAGATTAACTTCAGTAAGCCGTGAGTGTAGCTTAGATTGTTTCAAGTTGGGAATCAGGCGAAAAGGGACACGCGCACATAAAATTGTGACATACACTCACACCTAGGCCTAGTTGACCATTTTATAAATTTATGAATCTATCTATATTCGGTACAATAAATCACTGTATATAATGTTATAGGTCATTGTTTCTAAATTCTATGCTTCTAAAACTGCATGTAGACAACCAG